TTACAAAACATAAATAGTCACATTGTGTTTAACATTGTATCGTAATGTAAAATTTTGTGTGCAATTAAATAATATGTATGTAAAATAAATTTTGATGGTGATTTTTATTTTATGCTTTGAAATGCTGCTGACAGTTTATTTATTTACTGCTTACATAAGAACATTCTATTGTTTAACATTTATAGCTCAAACTATAGAAAACCTAGAGTCTCTGATTTTGTAACCTGTTGTAGGTCACACTACTGTTTAGGTTATATGTACAGAAAGTCTTCTGTAACATGTTGTAGGTCACACTACTGTTTAGGTTATATGTACAGAAAGTCTTCTGTAACATGTTGTAGGTCACACTACTGTTTAGGTTATATGTACAGAAAGTCTTCTGTAACATGTTGTAGGTCACACTACTGTTTAGATTATATGTACAGAAAGTCTTCTGTAACATGTTGTAGGTCACACTACTGTTTAGGTTATATGTACAGAAAGTCTTCTGTGACCTGTACATTTAGTTAACCTGTTATAGGTCACACTACTGTTTAGGTTATAGGCACAGAAAGTCTTCTGTAACCTGTTGTAGATCACCATACTGTTTAGGTTATATGTACAGAAAGTCTTCTGTAACATCTGTTTTGTTAACCCATTATAGGTCACACTGCTGTTTGGGTTATAGGTACAGAAAGCCTTATAACCTCTACAATACATAGGACCAATTCTTCGTAATGGATAAATAGCTCTGATCGGTTCCTACTTTATTAAGATCCTATGATAACATCTTGTTTTACTAATGACAGCTCTTTATATAATTTTAATTTTTTTTTTTGTATTTAACATTTGTTTCAGAAACTACATACCAATTATTGCCCTCGATCAATGTTATAATGACAAATTGATAAATAAAGGTGTTTTTTCACTTTCGTTATTTATGTAGACAAAACTTTACCTGATTCCTTTTTATGTTTGACAGAATCTTTTGTGACTACGTATACAAAGAACAAACAGTGATTTGTATACGTAACTCCTATGATTAAAGGTCCATTTGTAGATTGGTTTGAATATCTATTGTACTATATAAATGTTTTATTTTTAAAATAAAGAAAAGTATAGTTTCTAAATTTTATTCTAGCTTTGAAGGAGGCTAGGCTTTTTTAAAACTCTTTATACAATTATCTTCAAACTTAATTGCTTTTTTGAGCAAGTAAAAACTAATTCAAGGAAATAATTTATTCTCAGAGCACGTTTAACTTTGGGATGATGTCTTGATACGCTGTATTGCAATCAGTCATTTGATGTGACACTACTTCTTTGCCCAGACAGCTCAATGCTCTCTTGTCAGTTGTTCTGTGTTAATGAATACATCTACAAATGTTATCAAAGTCGTACGTTTCCAGCTGTCATTATAGTTTGTTCTTCAAAAGGCTACAACACAATAGAATAATCAGTTTTCTTATGTTGAGAACGAAAATGTAATTAGAATGGACAACTTACTTTTGATACATAAAAACATTCTCTAGTGAAAAGTGTTGACATTTAAATGTGGCAGGTTACCATAGACTAATAAAAATGTGACTGATGAGTTGTGTGTATGTGTGTGTGTGTGTAAGTGATACTTCTGAAAGCTGTTTCTGAAACTAACAGCATGATTTTTCCAACACATGTATCTGAATTCCTGTGTTAAATTTTGAGTAGTTTGAAAAAGATAGCTTGCTTAACTATTGAACCTTTGCATCAGCACTTAAAGTGGGGGTGATGCGGTATATTATGTAAATGTGCTCATGCTGAGAATATACAATTATAAGTAAATAACTAATTGACCAATATGTGTGATACTATAGAAACCAGTAACAGTATTTAGTTTATAACCTTTCAATGTTTATAAAATACTAAATATGTGAACAGATTGGAACTTGTTTGACTACATGTGGTGTATAAAACAGGAATGGTGTAGATTATGTAATGGTGTTACAGAATGGATCTAACATGTATATAAGGGATGATTTTATAACTAATTGTTATATCTAAGGATTGGAAGTTATCACAGAACATTAAATGTTGAGCAGCGTGAAGTGGAACTATAAATAGTTATGTTGAGTTACAGAGAAAGTAGAACAGTAAATTTGTGGTGTCTAGCTTTAAACCATGACTTATTAACTTAGTGTTAGGGATGGTATAAACATAGTGATGTTTGGATCATATAAAAGCTAGAGAAAATGTATGAATAATGTGAATCTGTCATTAGGCAACAGTATATGAAGTGGGAACTAGAACTAAAGAAGAAGAATGGCAAACTCATTTTAAGTCAAGATAAAAACTTGTACAGTTTGACATTTACTTGTTGAAGAGTTTGGATACCAGTTTATACACAATGCACTGCTTGAAGTTGAACAATGAACCTACTTGTGTCTGTAGGTGTGAAGCTAAGTAAGGAAATTTCCCCTTTAATAAGGTTAAGTGTTGAAACCTGCAGGTGATACAAAATTGAAACATAATGAGTGAGCCTGTTTTAGTAATAATTTGTATAGGGGAAGCCCCCCAGTGGCACAAAGGTACGTCTGCGGATTTACAACTCTAGAATCCGGGTTTCGATACCCTGTGGTGGGCAGAGCACAGATAGCCCATTGAGTAGCTTTGTGCTTAATTACAAACAAACAAGCATAGGGGAAATTTTCTATTATTTTGAAATCCATATTGAAACATGCATACTTGATATGCATAGTATTGACCTTTAATAATGGCTGGAGACGGCTTGAATGGGTAATGAAGAAAAACTTTAATATAAGTTTAACATAACAGCAAATGTACAACATTTCGACAAGGTTTTACTAAATAAAATGTATTAGAAGTATTTGTTAAGTTTAATATCCTGGAAAATTGAGAAATGTACATTCAGGTCAAAGAGCTCAAGTTGGTTTTTATAAGAGCATACAGTAAGGGGCGGATTAAGGTCAACTGATGCCCTAAGCACATCCCAACAATGGGTCCCCCTCGACCCTTCCATTGTCTCACTGACAAGACATTAAGACTCATTAAGTGCTAAATGTGAAATAATAAATTAAAAATTCAGTTTTCTTCCAGGCCAGACCTCCTCAACTATATTAAATATAACCTGTTTTTGAATTTTATTTATTTAACACTAAATAGCAGTAGGCAATATAAGCAAATTATTTACTTATAACTAGGGCAATAGGAAAAAATTCAAATTTTCAACACTTTTTTTATTCATTTTAAAATATATCATTAACCTCTTCAATATAATAATATTAATAGAAATATTTTATTATTATTATTATTGCTGTATATGTATATATATATGTTGATTTTTTTTCATTTATTGTAGGGGTCCCCCTTTTTGTGGGGCCCTAGTTCAGCTGCACCATGGTAAATCCAGCACTGGAATAAACTCTGTGGTGCCCCCTTCCCTTGGTACCTTAAGCATATGCTTATTTTATTTAATGGTTAATCCAGTCGTGCATACAGTGTCAAAAATGCATTATTTCATTTATGTTGGACCTTAAGTAATATTCATAATAAAGTGTACTTATAATTTTGTAGAGTTTTTATTACGTTATTTTTGAGCTGTTTGTACAAAGTTCATTATCATAATTTTTACATGTTCTGTTTTAAACTGTGTATTGGATTATGTTGTATGTAAAAAAATACATTTTAGTTGTAAAGCTTATTTTGTCTTCAACATTAGAATATTGAAATCCAAACCACAAATTAAAAGAATATACATATAGTTATGTTAAGCTAAACATTTATAACTGTTAAAATATGACTTAAACAGTGAAATGGGTTATTTATGAAACTTTTTTGTAACAAGGACACTTGGTTACAATATTCGTTTTTCGTAAAATACAGTTTGGAAAAAGTCTGAATTTTGTTTTTTTTCTCTGCCAATTGTTTTTGCTATAGGGGCGATATCAATCTCTTGGCTAGATGACGCTTCTGCTTTAATTGCACTTAAACGTCCAGAGCACACTGCTGATGGTGAGTTTTTTTGTTGTTTTTTTGTTGATGTCCCATAGAATTTAAGTAGTATCATCTTTAGTATTTTCCTCAAGTGTATGGAAGACTGTACATGTATACATATTGATGAGTTTACACTTCAACCTCCCCTTGTTAGCAGTTGTTGAAAAAAAAAAATTGACATTTTAGTAATGTGAGGTAGGCAAGTCTCTGCAGGTGTATCAGTCTGTTTCAAGACTACAGATCAGGAGTGTGCATGTATGTGACACTTTACTCCACCTCCCATGGATCCAAGTAGCTAGAGCAGGAGATACTGTCACCCCCCACAGTGTCAATAAATCTTCCAAGTTTAAAACATGTTATTAACATGATAATTGAGGGCACCGTGCCAAATTACTTTCCGTGATTGGATGACTTAGAAAGACATTTTATTTGAGCAATGCAAGATTTTATTTTGATAAAGACAGTAACACAGATTCAGCAAGCCTGAGTTTATTGTGTACACTCTCATAAAAAAAAAACACTACTATTATCTTGAATGTCTGTAAGCAGCTTGTTTTACAGCATATAGTAATATATTATTAGGATTATTAATTCTATAAGATTCTTTTTTTAAGTTCTGCATATGTTGTTTTGATGAAAGCGTAATTAGATGTTTTTTTTAAGGTCGTTATTATACTTATACCTAGTTTTGTTTTGAAAATTCAAAGTAAAAACTGTATATTGTTTTGTAACATCTTTCAGATGTGTGTCTCGTGATTTTTCAATGTTAAATTTGTCTCCTCTTTCTATTAAATGATGCATTATATTAGCCAAGAACTTGTATTGAATAGAATTTTAAAATAAATGATTTTTAACTAATGGTTAATTTTTTTAATGTGCTATTGTGATAAAGAGTGATCCGTTGTATTTCAGAAACACAAGTTGTTGGTTTTTACTACATTTATAACATGTTTATTGACATTAGCAGTATTTGAACACTTCTCTGAGGTAACATTTAGAATATAAGTTTAGTTTTCACAATAGACTTAATATGAGGTTATGTAAACACTCTTGTTGTCTACATGGCAGTTTTGAAGAACCTTGTTCTGTCCAGCAACAGTGTTTACTCAGTGAAGACGTATTTAGATTTTAAAAACAGGCATCAACCAAATCTCGTGGTTGAAAGAAAAGTGTCTCCAGTTCCACACTCTGATTTTGGAGTTCCAGTGAAGAGGCGGAGAAGTAGCAGTGGAACGTGCGAGTAAGCATATGAATTCATCAAAGTTTTCTGTGTTTAGCAATAATAATAGTATGTACAGATGTTAGACGTGTTTGTATACAGAGAGTTAATTATGTAAGACCACAGTCAGCATGACATTACCTTCCAGGGATAACTTGTTTAACTTTGAAAATAATCAAACATGGAACATTAGTTTAAGAAAGGCATTGCCTTTCAGAGATTATATGTATTAATATTTCATGGCTTATGCGACATCAGGTGTAAAATTTATTCATTCACTAGATTATTCTATTGTAATCAACATAGCAACTTAAACATATCTCTCTTACCTGTTTGTATAACATGCAATAATAAAAGATTAAAACAATCACCTTTGAGTTTTTATTTTATTATACCGAGAGAAATTTATTAGAACTAACTAAACTTTTCTTAATACTTTTTTTAATATCTACAATCTGTCCAGATTTTGAGGTATAATGTTGGTTTTAATCGGGTGCCTTTAAATGTTTTGTAAGTGTTTATGTGAAACTGGACGATCTTCAGTGAAATTCTGTTGAAATGTACTTTAAGTTGGAACTTGTGTATTCTAGGCTGGGAACAATCCTTTTCTCTAAAGTTTCTATTTTGAAATTGTTTCAGCACTTTGCTTATTTCAAAATTATGGTTTTTAAGAGAAAACGTTCACAAAGGCTTGATTGGTATGCCGAACATCTGCGTCATGAATTTTTCATCCCAACCCCTTAACCTAAGACTTGCCCTTTATCTTAGGAAGAAATAAGAGAAAAATAAAGTAGTGGGAAGAAAAATTTGAGGCATAGGTGGAGCTATTGTATGTAAGAATTAATAAATTTTGTAGAAATCAGCTTGAATCAGATTGTTTATTTATAGTGTTCGGTATACCATACCCAACTAATATGACATTAATTAATATATTTTTTGTATATTTAGTGTGATGATATAGATTATAGAGACATAAATGAATACTAAAAAATAGTATTATAATCAGCTCTGAATTATTAAACCAAGGATTGTGGAGATATGTATGAATTTGGCATTGTGTAATTTCAGATTTATTTCTTGTTGATTGTATGTTACAGTTAATAGGATCCATTTGAAGTATATTGTAACAATGAAACATGATTGTAATGAACAAAAAGATGCTGCTACATGACGTAACAGTCTGATTAAAATGAACTACAGAAACAGTTGCTACATTACGTAACAGTCTGATTAAAATGAACTACAGAAACAGTTGCTACATTACGTAACAGTCTGATTAAAATGAACTACGGAAACAGTCAGTTGGTGCTGAATGTCTAATCAAACTATTTTCTTCTTCAAGAGGAAACCTCAGTAATCGTAGCATCGAACCAATTCCTGAAGAAGATGAAGATAACTTTTTAAACAGTCCATCAGGTATTTGTCTTCGTTGTAATGTTATTGTAGATGATTCAACTTGAACTATCTTTATTTGCTTGATTAGAAATTTAGTAATTATAAAATACTTTTAGCATATGAAAACAATTTTATTCCTATGTTAAGCAAAGAGAATAGATGTCAAATTTGTCCTAGTTTTAGTATTTTGGTGAAATAATCTATAAAGAGGGTTGTGATAAACAAAAATCTAACACACTACTTTTGTCCACACAGACGTGTATTGGTAGATCTTTAGGCAAGTGGTGTGATCCATGTTTTATCATTATTGTTATAGGGTTTTCTTTTAGAAGGATGTGTTTAGACAAAATAATTATAAAAATTTGTATCTTTAGTTTTTGTATGGGTAATTTGTGTCTATAGTTACAATCTCTATCTTACCAGTTTTAAGGTCCCTGTGCATTAGTCTTTTGTTCAATGCTTTTAAACATTGTAATATGCTTTGGTAGTGTACTGAATGAAAGCCTAAGAGTTTGTCTCTCAGAGCTAAGACATTGTTGAGATAGTTACGATTTTTCTCAGGCTTCTTAAGTTTACAAATTGTGAAATTGAATCGTACATGTATTTAAACATAGCATTTTTCTTAAAGCTATATATTTAGTGCAATGATATAGATTATAAGGACATAAATATTAAAAACAAACTATAGAGCACTCTGATATTATAACAACATATTTTGGAATACTCTCGATATTCTTGGCCTAACGGATATCTCTTAGTCTGTTGATTTGGATAGTTTGTTTTGTTATTGCCAGACTCAATAAGACAAGGATGTGATGTGTTAAAGGTAAACTGTAACTTTGTCATGGGAAGCAATTTTGGAGTAGTCAAGCCACTGACATTTCTAGAGGGGTCTGGGTGTTTGCTCTCCCAGAAAATGCTATGAGATTGAATCTTGAGCCATTTTAATTACAAATACTGCATGCACACAGTGTAATATTTAATTACAAGAAGCAAGTTTTAATGTACAAGTTGTAGCTACACATGCCATGAAAAAGTGGTCAGGCCATGGCCTTATTGCTTCCTACAGCCCTGTGTAATGGGGCCTTCAGGATGTATTTTAAGTGTGTTATAGATTGAAGATTAACGACAGCTCATGCTCCCCATGTTTTTATCACCTTAATCTTTCAATATAAAGTGTCAGAGACAGCAACTCGTAAGATGGGGTATGCCTCTTGAGTTTTTCGGCACCCATCAGTTCACCTGTGTTACTGTTACAATTAAACATTAATCATATTTAATTACAGATAGAGGAGATAGCATTTTCAGTTGTATTATGAGAGTGATTTATGTGAACTCTTGTACATGGCTTTGTTTCTTGTTTATTTTTTATTTTTAGAAATTAAAATAAGAAACAATACTTGAGAGCCAAGATAGAAACGCCCTTTTGTGTAATTTCTTTTTTGTTTTTCCATTAAACCCCGTTTTCATGTTCATTCATTTTTCTTGTCATTTCTTTGAGGTCAGTTTCATCTTAGATGACAGGTAACTTGTGCTTCATAAGCAACAACTGAGAATTTCTTTTGTATTAAATAGCATTAACTTCATGTGCTGTGAGAGATAAAAGAAAACATATCTTGAGATGCTGGATAGAAAACCTTAACAATGTAACACAACCTTCATCCATATTTATCAGGAACGACTCAAGTAGCATAGATTGGATAATAAATATGAGTTATTTCATATAACCCATAAAAATAATTAATTTCTTGATATTCAAGTAGATTGTACTTGTCAAAATATTTTTTCTTCTAATATATATAAAGAAAGAATAATTTATTCTATTGGCATTTTAGTGTAGTTGCCAATTGCATGTTTCAAGATACTCTCTCTGATAATTTGTGTGTTTATTTCTTTCTTCTTTTGTGTGATATTATCTTTAGTGTTCTTAGTCTTCAACAAAAATAAAGAAGAAAGTCAGTGTAATAAAATATATCTGCTTTTATTTTAGTTACATAATTTTAACTATGACTTGTTTGTTAAGTGCATGATTGGATATAAAAAAACAAAGGTTTTCTCAGTTGGCAGTTGAGCTGTAAAAGCAGTATAAAGCATATCAACTTGCAAGAACAATGAGGAAATAATGATAACATGCCAAACGATTTATACAGTTTAATAAGCAGTGACTCTTAAGTTTAGTAACTTCATCTCGGGGATTTTATCACTGTGTTAGGTGAAAAGATTTATTGAAATTCTGAAACATTTGTTCGAGTAACGAGGTTAGATTCGTAAGCACATTTTAGATACATGGGCTATTTAGGAAATGTGAATGAAAAGCAATATTGTGTTTATAGATTTTCTTTTATTTACTCAGTTCTATTACCAGTTACGGTAATACAGCTGCTGACGAAAGTTTATATAGCTACGTTAAGTAAGTAGGAGGATTCCGGCATTTTTTCATCAATGGATTTGTGACTAAACAATCTGACATGGTTTGTAGCTATTAATAGCTCTACAGCTACGTACTAGACATTAAAATATTTTGGAATCTTATAGAAAGAGGTGTATCTTTATATAGAAATAACCTGTACAAGCTTAAAGTTTTGTCTTGCCAAATTTGCTAGTCTAAAGTTATTTCATGCACGTTCTAAAAAATAGATTTTTTTTTGTCAGTTAAAAGTTAAAACCCCTAGTCTCCTTTTACCCTTTTTTATATAAGAAGATCCATGGCTGGACTACCAGATACTTTGTGTGTGTGTGTGTTCATTAACAACTTCGAACAACTGTTTCTAAATTAGACAACACATTTATAATAGATTTAAAGAAGACATATTGTGTATCATGATATAAGTTAAGAAGATTCTAGTCAACGATAGGTCATACTTACCACTGGTCAGTATGTGCTACCTCCTGTTGGACAGCATCAGGTCATACTTATCACTGGTCAGTATGTGATACCTCCTGTTGGACAGCATCAGGTCATACCTATCATTGGTCAACATCCAGTCGTACTTCTGTTTTTTGGTAACAGTCTATACCTACTGCAAGTCACTATCGGCTCATAATTACTGATTATTGGCAGGAACCCATACCTGCATCTGGTCAACTTCAGGTCATATCCACCACTGGTCAGCATCAATGTATATCTACTGCTAGTCAGATTGATTACATTTTAAATTTCTTAAGTTTAATGTATTTAAACACACTTTTCATTTTGTAATTTTGTTGTCTACATTCCTGTCTTGTGTAATTTTTTTTTCAACCATCTGACACTTTTTTATGTTTTTTTTTAATATTCCGAGTTTTAAGTACTGTGCCAAAACAGGTATGGTACATTGTTCCTATCCTTATCCATGTAGGACTTCTCAAAGTCAAAACTTGAGTATATTTACAGTATGAATATGGTGTTCACTTTTAATATATATATATATATTTTTTTTTTTTGAGATGCTAATACTTTCTTTTACATACTTTAACATAAATTCTATCTGTTTAATTTTTCTTACACTAACTTGATTTAAATGTTCCTAAATAGTCTCAACATTTGACAACTGACCTCACATTATCCTTATATCCTGGACCTTGGTGTTTGTTCCAAGCTGCTTTAGGTAATAATGAGACTGCCTAAAACAAAAAATGTGTATTTGTTCGTCCAGTTTTCTATGTCCAGAGTTAAATATGATGAAGCACTAAGTTTGATATGCCAGCTAGACATTTACTAGACTTGGACCTACAACTTCTACTTTGAAAGGTGAATGATTAAAACCAGTTTTTCTTATCAGATTTTAATTGTTTTGTTGTTTTCTCTTATCAGTGGAACCAGTAGAAAAGAAACCAAAACTCGAGAGGCCTAGCAACAGTAACTTGCCACCTTCCAAGTGTTCAAAGTTATTTGATGAGAATGACAATTGGACCTAGAATTCTTTGTGTCTGTTTTTAAAGACACAGAATGAAGGGAAGTTTTTTTGTTTTGAAATATTTGATAAACGCTACATGTAATTTGAGATTGACTAAAAGCTTTAAAGTGCTTTAAACTGTGAGTTTTTCAGGGCTCTGTGCTGTTTTAAACATAACTTTCTGAAATAATTTATGGTTCAAGATGAATAACTCCTTGAACAAGGATGCCTTGGAGAAAAAAATTAGGGGGGGTCAAGAAACTCAAGTTTGAAAAATTATGAAATCGAAATACTGATACCTTATGATTTTTCCAATCACATAGAAGACTAATTTTACATATCTAGTAATTTTTCATTTTTTTTTAAATCGGGGGGGGGTGACCCCCTTTCCCCTTCCTGTGGGCACCCATGTCCTTGAAATATTTTGCATTGAAACAGTAAATGGACGATGTCAGAGTTTTGTGTATTGATGTAGAAAAAGTATTGTTTTTTTTTTTATGGACTACAAACATTGTTTTAAAATGTTTTATTGTACAGATTGGTGCAAGAGTTTAAAACCTTGCATAGTTCATTGATCTTTGTTATAAATGTTTTAAACCTATTTTCATGGTGTATATGCTTTCCATGAACATAAAATTTTACTATTCCCGTCGTGTTTTTTTTTTTTTTTTT